AGCGATATAAAAAAAAAAAAAAAAAAGAAAATCCTGTATTTAGTTTATGAGTGAAATTTGCAATATCATGCGTCTATATATGTATATGAATAATAAAGCAGTTGATTTATCGATTAAAATACTGCCATTTATTATTAGATGTTTAGATAGATAGAGACAAAATAGTACAATAAGTACATACGTTTATCCTGGAATTGTACAAAGTTGTAAAAACTATACCTAACCGTTGTTAATCCGCAATACCGTTGCAATTGCGTGTTTCGGTTTGTTCTAGAAGTTACTCTTGAATATGCAGTGGCCGTTTGAAAAACTTTGTTATTTATCATGTAATGTTGCGCAATAAACAATCTACCGAATCTACGAAACTACTACATTTCTTATTATAAACTGTTATATTCGCTCGAAGGTCTCTCGATAAATGTCAATTTTTAACGTTATCGATACGATGAAAAATTTGACGCTCTTACCTGATAAACGAACACATTCAATATCTTCTAAATTCGCCACTTTGACACAAATGTACAAAAATGACACGTAAATAGTATACGGCAAAAAAAAAAAAAAAAAAAAAAAGAAGAGAAAAAAAATTATACAAAATAATGATCAAAATTTTTGGTGTAATCTCACAATATTCAAACGATGCAGTGTTACCGTTTGTTCGTCCCAAATGGGAATCCATTGGAAATTTATAATTCGGATTACGGTTGAACAATGGATGGATCAGGTGAAATAATAACAATTTTCATAGGGCAGGCTGGCACGCAATTAGCAAATGCCTGTTGGGAATTATTTTGTCTGGAACATGGCGTGTCTCCCAATGGCTGTCTTCGCCAAGGTTACTATCCAACGGATCCCGCTATGTGCGCCTTCTTTTCAGAGTCGCAAGTAAGCAAGTATTATTATATATAATGAAAGTATCATTGGACTCGTTCCAAAGGATCTATTCACATTTTTTTAGGTAAGAAAGCTGACACCGCGAACGATGATCATTGATCTGGAGCCAAGCGTGATCGACGAGATTAAAACGGGCGATTACAAGCAATTGTTCAGCCCCGATTCGTTGGTCACCGGAAAACAAGACGCGTCGAACAATTACGCGAGGGGTTATTACAGCATCGGTAGAGAGGCGATTCCTCTCGTATTGAGTCGTATTTCCAAGATATGGGAAGCGTGCTCGAAGCCAGCTGGATTCATCGTATTCAGGTAAATTCAGTTTTAATGAATTGAGATCAAGAAAATTACAAATTCTCACTCGTAAAAAGCTCAATCAATTTTATATCAATAGATCGATAAGCGGTGGTACCGGAAGTGGTTTTGCCTCCTTGCTACTTCAACAATTATCAACGGATTATCCGAAAACGATCACTTTGGATTTTGTTATTTATCCATCCCCCAACATATCTGCAGTTATCGTGGAACCGTACAACGCGTTATTCTCTATCCATAGTTCATTGGATCACGTGGACTGTTCCTTCCTCGTTGACAACGAAGCTCTGTACAACATTTGCGCCAGGTATCGATTAAAAACATCGTTAACTCATCCTTATTATCGTCTTATCATTATCGTTTCCCAAACAGCAATTTGGACGTAAACGATCCAACTTTCACCAATCTGAACCGCCTGTTAGCTCAAATTACATCCAGCGTCACGGCTTCGATGAGGTTCGAGAGCGCTGTGAACGTTAGCCTCCAAGAATTGCAAACTAATCTGGTACCTTATCCAAGAATTCATTTCTCCTTGACTACGTACGCTCCGCTGATCTCTCCTAGAAGGGGCATGTACGCTGAAATTACCACCCAGCGGATCACCAATGATTGTTTCATACCTTCGAATCAGGTGGAGCAAAAATATTTAGATATTTTTTTTCAAAAGATAACAGGTCGTGTTATCGTTTTTTAACGTGTCAATCAATTTTTAGATGTTGTCGATCGATCCACGTACCGGAGCTTATACCAGTTGTTGTTTACTTTATCGTGGAGATGTGAGCGCAAATGACGTTAACAGAACGATCGCGTCACTGAAAGGGGCAAAGTCTATTCGTTTCGTCACTTGGGCTCCGACCGGGTTCAAAGTACATATTATTATTTACGATTTTCTATGTATATTTTTCTTTTTTTTTTTTACGTATATCTTTACATATAATTTTCCATTTTGAAACAAATATTACGCGAAGATGGAATATCGTTATAAAATAATACAGCAAAATTGCTAGATTGTTGTGTTGATATATCCAACATTGTGGAAAAAGTGGCGGTACGTTGAACCGTTGAATAGATAATGTCTTTTTCTCTTGTTGAACTGTGAGTCTGTTTAGTCTGAAAACGTTATGAAAATAAACGATTCGTATCACTCTCTGTGTAAACAGGAACAGAACTGTTTATATGAAATGGAACGAAATAGTTTTAAAAATTTATTGGAAAAAAAAAATGCATTCGTAGGTAGGTATTAACTATCAGCCGACTACGACCGTCCCTGGCGGTGATCTGGCAAAATCGAACAGGACGGTGGTGATGATCAGCAACAACACAGCTATGAGACACAGATGGTCGATGCTCACCCGGAAATACGACTTGATGTACCAGAAAAGAGCTTTCTTTCATCATTACATAGGGGAGGGTATGGAGGAGGATTTTTTCAAGGAGGCACGGGAGGACATGATGACTCTGATCAGTGATTACAAAGAGATCGAGAAATGATCCTTTAAGATTCTTCGCTCGAGCTTTCCAATTTATAAAGTTTCTCTTGTACGAGAGATAAAGAGACATTTGCGGTCGCTGTACTTTCTTTCGACAAAGGTGCAACAAAAGGTTAGTAAATAGAGAAGAAAGAATTTCAATATTTGCTGGAACCGTGGTACGGTTGAGCAAGGAGCGTTTGATTTATTTCTATTATTTCAGAGGAGAAGAAGAAATGTGTGATTGCACCGAGATAAGAAAGAATCGCGCGAAGATAAGCGGACAGCCAGTGGTAGACTCGCTGGCACCAATGGGTACAACGCGAGCGATCGTGTAATATTGACTTTCACTTGTTACATTTGCCACGGACATACAGACCATCGATAAGGAATCACGCACTTTTCGATCTGAACGTGTGGATACCTGCATGTTCCACACCGTGAAACAAGCATATACACAAAATTAGGCCTTGTTGTATTCATGTAAACGACGTGCTAATGATAAGCGGTATCGGGTGATTGGTATCCCCTGGCGATATCATTCGTGCCATCCGCTTTGTTCTGGATATAATCGGTCATTTATCTTCGTTATCTTCGAAGACAATTAAGAATTCCGAGAAAATAAACAGGAAAATCCTGAGATATATTATAACGGAGGAG